TCACTTACAATCCATGATTAACCTTTGACATTTGGGTATTCAGGAACTGTTGAAATAAATCAATCACTTCAGTTTGGTATAAACTTTGCATGTGGTGGTGCTGTGTAATTTGAAGCTGAACTCAACCGCTGGTTGAAAATAAGTATGTTGAACCATAGGAAATCGCTAATAGTTGACCATTTTTGACCCATAAAAGAAATCAGTTTCCTTTGGTTCAGTGTCATTTACTCTAGAAATCCAAGCAAGAGTCTAATCCAGAAAACTCCAAATTCCTGGATGAGTAAGGTATATATTATCTTACAAGGAAATACATACTCATCTGTATTACTATTTCAAGTACTAAGATAGAGTGCATAATAATGTCACTGGATAAACTATAATGCCGCTTTTTCTAAGAGGAATTCCATCAGTTTATTTGCTTGCCTATTTAAGAATTTGAGGTGTATTTGTAAGTACAGGATGGGAGTTACTATCTTTTTCTGTATATCATTTCATCTAATTAGGGCTGGGCTAATCTAAGGACCTTTCCAATATTAATGTAACTTGAGTCTATTCTTATGTGGGACCCTGGGTAGCACTTAACCATATTCCCAAGTACTTTCAGAAGGAATATGCTGAATTAAATGGTGTTTTATGTGTATCCATCTTAGATATTTCTAATTATGCTAGATGCAATCTAGAGGATACCAAAAGCAAGGGCTAAATTATTTTTCATTGATATTATCAGTCTTGAAGCCACACTGTTGTGTTTTAGGGATTGAATATATGTCTTTTTTTGGAGGGTGAAATTGCAGGACTATTTTCTGAATGTCTGTGTACCCTTTTTACTTTATTGTCAAATGTAACTACTAATTTTCTAGTTTAGAGACTTCATAAAAATTTTCCTGTAGTTTTTCTGGTTAAGTCATTTTCTACTTAATTGTTGACTGAAGCCTATATACGTCAACTTTTTTGAGCTCCATTTTTCAATTTGTTTTTAGGTTAAGAAAAATGTCACAAATTACATTTGAAATTCCATTAATTGACACCACTAAGGTAACAGCAAGCGTTAACATGTTCCCGTTATAACTTAACCCTGGACTATGTGTTCATTGGGTCAGGACTGATAGGAAACACAGGATAGATGATCTCCGTATATCCTGTTAGGCAACAGTTAGCTCTCATCAGATACACAGCACTCTGAACAAGTGTCAACACAAGGCAGAACGTAGGTAGTTTAAGTTACCTGGTACTCAAGGTTACCCTCAATTCAGGATTTTTTATATAACCAAAAAACTAGCATTCTAAATGTTTTTTACTTCAAATGTACAGATGTTTTTCTATCTTGTTCTTTGAACTTTTTGAGCCAGTTTCTAAATTTTCATTGGAATTAATGTTTTTTTGGAGAAGGGTTCATTTATACTCAATAAAATGTGACCCCACTGCACACTCCTAAATTGCAAAACAACTTTTATAGGTCATTATCAACAGCAAGATGCCTTACAGATTCTCATTGAAAAAAATCAAGTGTTCTAACCTGAAGTATTGAAACTTAAGACTTGCCTCTTTTCAATGAAGCACTCCGAGTTAATTTCCTAAATATTTCTGATGCAAGCTTTTAAGCAGGGCCTAAGTTTTCAGTATGCTGAACAAAGGATCACCTTTCAGTGTAGCATGTTTATGTTTAGGGTTTTATCCTCGTGTTAAGATGCTAGTTACTACCTCAGTTTATCCAGTTCTCAATGGTTTTGCTTCTTGCCTTTAAACCCTTCTTGGTTCTGTTACAATTTATAGCAGAGCAAATTAAGGATAGCAGGGAAAACCATAATTTTTGGGTTGGCTAAAAAGTCTTTTGGTAAAAAGACACTCACTGATAACTCTTGATTTGGGTATTTTGAGTGTATCAGCTATCTCCCCTGTTGGCTTCTAGCGGGTAGAAGCCAGGGGTGCTGCTAAACATCTCCGAGTGTACAAGACAGCCCTGTAGCAAAAAATTATTTGGCCAAAATATCAGTTTTTCCAAGAAACCTTTTGACATGTTTGATCAGTCATGGCACCACCATACACTGCACAAATTTTTTGCATTTCAGTTGCGGGGAATTTTTTTTTTTTTTTTTTTTTACCTTTCTTGAAATAAAGCATTATACACCTAAAGTGTTGTGTTATCTTCTTCCATCTTCATAATTAAAATGGCTGCACAAAAATTCACCAATTTTGCAAAGCTTTTTTTTTTTTTAATGCACACTGATATGACAGCTGTCACAATACAACCTAACAAAATTGTTTCACATGAAGTTGAAGACAGCAAAGCACTAGAGTCATACAAAAAAACCCGTTAAAGGCTTTCCGGCCAATCCAATATGGGCTGCTTTCACTTGAGTTCTCAACTAGTTGAATAGTTGAGTCTTCCAAAATAACTTTTCTTATTTTAAAGGTATTATCATTTGGAAAATACTTGAAGGCAAGAGACTTAAAATTTTTAAGTTGGAAAAGATTTAAATTCGAGGACCACTCATTAGAGCCCGCTTTGATGACCAGTTTTTATAAAGTGCAGTATAGGGCTCATCCAATGTCCATACTAGCCCAGGGAAGGAGCTAGGTGAGGAAACTTAAAATTCTGGTATGCCAGATCTATTTAAGACTATGGGTGGGAATTTCCCCAATAACGTACTGAGGACTAACATGTATATACCCAGGGTTTAATTACAGTTTTTCTGGCTGTTTTACCTCAAATACTTGCGCTAGCTTTTTCTGTCTATAAAATGTGGCGGGATCCTCACAAATTTCAAGATGGCCATTATTTTTAACATGAAGCAGAGCCCTAAGCCCATAGACGGCTTGCTCAAAGTTGCCTGGCTACTACTGCAAAAGTTTGACTTAAAACCTGTATCTCTCTATTCGCTTCATGTGGTGGTCAGCCATACCTTCCTTCCCATAAAGTTTCAGGTTGTGAGCACCATCCAACAAAAAGGCCTCAAGCTAAATGAAAAGTACCAGGCACACCTCTTTACCACCAAGGAAAACATCTGAGTTACCAGATTTGTGAAAGGTATCACACTGCAGTAGTTAGCATGGTATTTTGGGTTTGAGAACGACCAGCTTTCTCACTCAGCATGTTAATTAGGGCAAGTTTTTTGTTTTTTTTTTTTACCTCATTTACAGTAGGTCCTCAATTACATTCAATATTATGATGATGAAATGCCACAGGAACTCACCTTGTTTGTATTAATAGCCTATGGTATAATTTGTCCTGTTGTGTATCATTTCACTTAAAGTTGTGGAACGTTAAGTGTGAACTTTACAGGGGAAATGCTTAGAGTGATGCTGACACATTGTAAGTAATGTTAACATTACACTAAGTATTTTGTAAGAAAATACTATTAAAAAGAGATCATACTTCATCAGTTACCCACTATGATCTAGAACCCTCACACGGATGACTTTTTTTCCACCAAGAGAAATAGTAGATTTGCATACAGTTCTTAATAAAATAGGGATTCTTCTCCCTGATAAAGGTACATAACAGGAAACAAAGCTGATTACTGTGAATGAAAAACGGGCTCTGTTGTGCTCCTTAGTATTAAAGTGGTTTCTGTTGTCTCAGATACCCAGTACGTGAAGCTTTCCTTTTTACAGTTCATGCTTGATTGCCTGTTGGCATACTCTCAAGTTTTGATACTTTTTTTCCTTTAAAGCTCTTGGTCCTGGAAACATTTTTTTAGTCTGAAGGACTGAAATAAAAGGTTAACAAGCTGAAATACAGTTGATCCTCATTATTAGCAGATTCCTTACTTCCAAATTCATCCGCTCACTAAAATTTGTATGTAACCCTAAAATCAACACTCGAGGTGTTTTCCCAGTCACTTACGGACATGGAGATCGAGTGGTGAAAAACCTGAATTGCCCAATGTTGAAAAAGTGATGCTCTGCCTTGTTTCAGTTTCCACACTGTAAACAACTATCCTTTTCATGATCTACAAAGTGTTCTCTGAGTTTTTTGTGCTGCTTACTGATTTCCCTGTTTAAAATGACCCCCAAGCTTAGAGAAGTACAGCCTTAATGTTCCCAAAAGTAAGAAGACTGATATGCCGCTATGAGTGAGTGGTGTTGGTTTTAAGTTTAATGTTAAGGTGTCGACAATATATCAAGTAAGGTGTCTTTAAACAAAAACTCGCATAAAACAAGGTTGACAAAAATCTGACCAGAGACTCAACAGGAACCTGTATCTCCCCTAGAACAGTATGCTAAATGAAGTGTTCTCAGTATCTTTATAGAACATAACTACTTGGAATAACAAAAGTCAATGGAAACGTCATACCTCTTTCCCTTGGAAATAACTTAAGATTTCTCCTACACAAAAGCCATGGCCGCCTAATCAAGAAAGACGATCAGATTTTAAACAAGGAAACATGATGGAAAATAAGAGATGTACCCCAATTTTGAAATGCCACTAAAAAATTCTAACACTAAATATGGTTACCTCCATTAACCTGACCTTGAACGTGTGTGTTCTCCATTAATAAGACCTTTAAAGATGATTTAATGAAGTTTAGACAGTAGGAAGCATATGTTACCATCTTAAAGCTAAACATACTACACATAACTGCTGCAGAAGACCACAAGTCCTTTGGTTAAGATCCTTACATATGTTAGACCAAAAGCAAGCTATTTGTTCTCAAATGTCATTAATGTATTTTGCTGTGTATAATGTTCACCATATTTTTGAGGGAAAAAGGATATGCATTATACATGATTACATACCATGGGTATAACAGTGGGCATAAATAATCCCATGTATGACACACACAAGAACGTGGGTGCGTGCTATATGGCAAAATTCAGTAAATACATTATTGTACATACTGGGTCCAAGCTGAATATTTTGATAACAGCGTATTTCAGTTGCGCTAATTGTGTTTAACCCTGGTCATAACAAATGCAAACCTTTTATGTAAAAAAAAATTATAAATGGTCAGTTTCTTGAAGGCTAGCTGAATACAATGTAAATATTTTTCTTGATTAAAAACAAGACACACTCATCTTTTTTAATCAAGTTTTTAATGTATGAAATCTGACTCCTGTCAGTGACATACCAATTTTTTAAGGTCAAATGTGTAGTTAAATTCACAGCTCCAAGCTGCTGAGCCAGCTCACTGTACCTTGACAACCTTTCTTCCCAATGAGATGAGTCTACCATAACATATTCCATCATACTATTTATCACATTGTATTTTAATTATCAGTTTATCAGTCTCCCATTAGATTGGGGTTCCTTGAGAGACCTTCATGTTCACTTTGCCCTGAAGTACGTACTAAGTTATTTGCTAAATGAGTAATGAAAAGTATTTCTATTCAAGTGGTATGTATTTACCCATAATTATTGAGCAGTAATCTCCAAATATTGTATAATCTGACAAAATCCTCAAATTTAAACAAATTTACACAAGGCTTTGACTTTGTGCTAAATCATTTTTAAAATTTGTAGCTTTGGGACATTTTATAAAAAGCTGGTACTTGTACACAAAACTGATAACTTTAAAAATCATCATACATTTCACTTCTTAGCTTGACCTTCTAGTAAATCTTTAGCTTCATTGATTTTGGCTGCTATATAAGGAGATCCTCCTACAGAAAGAAAGAGAACAGGAATAGTGTTATTGGATTCTCAATTTCTGCTTGGTGAAAAGCTATTTTTATTTCAAGGACCCTATGCTTATTGGAGAAGTAGAATTAGCAGAAATGGTATTCAGATTTTTACAAATAATTATGACACTGCAACTGGATAACCACATACATGGTAATATACTTGACCAATGGGAAATGAGTTCCACAAAAATGGCACCTTTTAGAAAGCTTACAATTGATGATAGGAATATGATTTCATAAACCCACAGACTTACATAATTTGGAACACGTCACAAATGAATGTAATTGTAGTGTGTGACTTTAAAACCTTGATATTCTCAGGCTCCTGAGCTTTGTTGGAAAGGCCCCACTTTGCTTTTGATCCTTTTTCTGCCCTTCATAGTTTTTCTTTTCCTGTCATTGTCCCTTTACAATATCATCTACAGCTTGTTTCCTACTCATCTTGCTGGCACATTGATTCTCAAAATGTGGTCAGTAGACCTGCAAGCATCAGCATCAATAAGAAGACTGGTAGAAATGCAAATACATGGACTCCACCCTAGACTTTAATCAGAAGCCCATCAGTTAATACAAGCTAGAAGAGGCTATGTGGTCAGATACCAAAAAATTAAAACCTTGTTAAAACTAAATTACTAAATTATTGATGAAAGTCCTCTCCCATAAAAAGATCTGAGCACTGGAACATGGATTTTGTGGTCTATATTTTGGTATTCCAAGGAATTATTTCAACATAGCTAAGGCTGCTTAGAGACAGAATGATAAGTTTTTAACTTTGTAACCAATTTCAAAAGTCTAAATAGAAAAAATTACATTTTTAGTTTCATTAACTGAAATTGAACGTGTCCTTTGAGAATGTAATCCAAACCTAAGCCTCCCAAAACAGTAGGATTAGCAGTATTTGACTATTAGAAGTCATTTTTTTAAAAAAAGTCCAATTTTCTAACAATTGCACATCTCAAAAAATTGTTAATGCTTATCACTGCTTCCAAATTACAGTAGTTATTAGATATTTGCTCATTATTTTATAAGTACATTTTTCACCCAAAATTTAAGGCACCAGAAACAAATGGATCCAACCTGGGAGACGGTGCTCACACAAAGATTTAGGCATTTCCCTATTGTAAGTCAAGAATTAAATGTAAAATCCCATTAATAACAATTACAGTCACTTCAACATGTATAAGAAGAGTTTAATGACTACTTACCCTTGTCTGGGTGATTTAAAAGCATAATTCGTCGATGAGCATCTCTAATTTTTCCTTTATTGGCAGTAGGGCTAATTTAAAAAGGAAAACGTGTTGTTTACTGCAGACTACTTCTGGATCACATAAAAAGATTGTACATAAAGGCCAATTAAAGATCCAAAACTGAAGTCAACACAACAGTATGAAAGCTGTTTAGGAACCTCTTCCCTAACATAAAACGAATAGGAATAATCTGAATTAGGGGAGCTAAATAAACAGCTCCTTAAAAAAAGAAGAAATTCTCAAAGATTTAATTGAACTTGATAATAATTCATGACAACAGTGCTTTTATTGGAAGGGAAAGCATGTTTAAATATTTAAAAATGAAGGCAGGATCTCTCCCACAAAGATTTAAGTAATTGAAAACAACATTGAGTATTGTGATTATGTGTTGCAAGTCTATCAATGAATTAAAAAGTATTTATATGCCAGTGTGCCTTCTTATTGGCATTTTGTATGGAGTATTTAGATGTTAAAAATGTAATGATACAAATAACTCTCTTCTAATGAAAGAAGATCTTTCTTACATTTGCTAATCATTTTAGAGTTGTAGAAAACATTAAAAATATTGGAAATTTTAAAAAAGTTTAAAAATATATTGGAAATTATTTTACCTTACACCTAATATTAATGCTGCTTCCCGTTTTGTCATTTTGGGTTCAAACCCACCTCTGTAATAGCCACCACTGAAGGCCTGAAAGAGGAAATACGTTAATAAGAGATTATGAGGCTAAACTAACAGCCGCTAAAAAAGGTCCCTATGTGTTCCTAGAACTAGCAGATGAAGACATTTCAGATAACTAATTCACATGGTATTTACCCTTATAAGTAGCAAAAAATATTTTAAACATCATTAAACATCCATTTTCCCCTAAAAAACCTATACTGTCTTGAAAATATAAAACAAATGAACTGTGCCTCAAAGCCAGTTTTTCTGGGAGTGAAGGGAAGATTCCAAGTAAGCCATGTTCTACATACAATTTGATCTCATAGTGTGATTGCTATGGAAGAAGTGCCTCAAGAACAGGATTTAGACATCTTTGAGACAAGTACTTCAATGGTATTTTGAGGTTTAAGGCAACTACTAAAGACTTCAAGATGTATATGGTGAAAATCAAAATTAGGCTATTAGGTCTGACCTTGTTATGTCAAATATTAGTAAAGCCCATCATCATCTTTGTCCCATTCAAACACAACAATAAAAATATGCAGCAAACTGTCACAGCCATATTCATTCTGAACTGTGACCACAGAAGGTATGATCACCACATTCAGTCATATTCTATAGTCTAATTAACTGCACTGCCACCCAAGTATCATGTTAGGGAGTGTCAGGGCCACCCAGTAAGAATAGGTCACTTGAGGTCCTTAGATACCTGTGTTTGTGATGCAGAAACATCTTTCTGTGGTGTGTTGTGGACAGATAATATTGAAGGTCATAGTTACAACAGTGATGCTAAATTTCATGATACTGGAATTATCAACCCCTCTGCCTCAATTATGTTGCACATAAAATTGGACCTTTAGGGTCACACTATTACAAAGTTCAGAACTTCTAAACTCTCCTTGTAGAAAGCAAAAGGGGACCCCAAAGTAACCAGAACTTCATGGATGTTTGGAAATTTACCCTCGTAAAGTGTAGTTCTAGGCATCACATACAAGTGGTAAAGAATTAGTGAAAATGTTTAAGAAGCCTTACAGATTTTGGTAGACTTTGAAAAACTTGTTTGACTTGAGGCTCCATATGCTTCAAGGCTTGCGAAACGTAACGGCCTAAAAACAAAAAGAACAGAATAATTAAAAAAGTCCCCAACCTCCCTTACTTCACTTCCATCCCCAAACCACAAACCAACCTGCAAATCCTGCAGCAGCAATGGTCAGTCCAACTGCTACCACTGTACTGGCCTGGTAAGGGAAAGCAGAGTAAATACTTACTTCTCTAATTCCCACCTTTCCCTTTCGCACCATTCTCCCATCCCAACTCATAACAAGCTTTATTTCAAAGGGAAGTCACACCTTTTAGGGTGAAAATATTCTGCCCAATAATCCTTTAAAACGACAACTTTCACATCCAATGCATTGTAAAGGTATTGGAGTTTCACTACAGAAGAAAAGGATGATTTCCCTCCTTTTGAGAACATCTTTTTCACCTCAGGACAAATGAAGTTACATTCAAGTTCAATGACAGCAAAAGGGTCGGTTCCCATCAATTTTGATAACACATTCCAACGTTAAACGTCGGCTTTGCTAGGAGACTAGCTTTTCCTAGCACCTTCGTCAGTGTCACGCCTCACGACTACACAACACGAGAGAAACGCAAAAATATTTCAGGAACCGAGAAGAGATGTGTCAGTAAGAGCCAAGAGGATGGAAAGAGCAAGGTGGAGAACATCTTGGGAGAACGTGTTTGCAAATGCGCTTCCACTAATCTCCGAATGCCGGGGGCGGCGGAGCAAGGGCTAGAGCCCCGCGCACAGGGCCGTGAAAGAACAAAAATCTCAAGAACGGCGAGCCAACAGCTTTGTGTCCCGGAAAGAGTGACTCTCCGAAGCCGATACTCCCAACCCGCTGCCGCACCGGAGAGACAACGGCTCTGCTCCCCCAAGGCCGGGCACCGAGGCGAAGGTCTGGGCCTCAGCTCGCCCAGGACAACGGAGGCCACACTCACCATGGCTCCGGCTCGGCTCCGCTGCCTCCAACGAGAACGCGGTTCATCCCAGCCCTGAGGCGGTGGCCATCAACTCCACGCCCCTACCAGAGAGTAAGGGCCACTCCGAGCAGGGGCCAAACGTCCAGTTACTGGCACCCTAGACAAAACGGCAGGCGCGGCCACGATCAAGGCCGGAAAACTGTCGTAAAAGGTGAAAGCCGACGAGAAGGGCAAGGTCGCTTAAGCTCTGGGCTGATGGAGAACACGACTTCCGATTGGCTGATGGGCGGGAGGCTCGCCTCCTCACTGGGCTCAAAGGTGGGGCTTCTTTGTGTTTGCTGTTTGCCCGCGGGCAAAGGTATTTGGAAATTCTTTCCGGGCAGGATCCTGGTATAGACAAGCCTGTGTAGCTTTCCTCAAAACATTTTTTTCTCTCCCTCCCAGGACTTCCATTTGCCATTTATTTTGTTAATAATTGTCAAGGGTATTGATATCCTTAAACATGCCGTAATAGTTCTATCATGAAGCCAAAGAAATAGGTAGCAACCCAAAAAAGCGAACAGGAAGCTGTAACAGAAAACCAAACGAACAAACCGCATTGTGCTCCAGGGGTTGCTTTGTAAAATTATTTTATTAGAATTTTTTATTTAAATATGTGACTTGACAGGACCTGTGTCAATGTTTGGGGTTTTGTTTTGTAGAATGGATTTACCCCTTCAAAGACAGTTAATATTCTGTCCCTGAGATCTCATCCCCACAACTGAAAAATGTTATTTACAATTTCTTTTTACAGTTCTCCCCATCTCCTGAAATAAAAAGTAGGGTTTGGTTTTGCCCTTACAAAGCATCAGTTTCATATATCCCTACATAAATGCTTGAGATGAGAAAAATAATGGAGACAATAATGAAAGTTTTACAATGCAATGTTTGGATAAGCAAAATGAGTTTGGAGTTACTTCCCAAAGTATTAGAAATATGATTATGTTGCAATGAAATTCTGCTTTGATGAGCTGATTGATTTTTAGACACACAAATTTGTTGACTTTGTTTTCCTCATCTATAAAAAGATTTGCATTTCTATCTCCAAGAGTTTTCTAACTCAGATTTTTATAATGTAATTTATCGCCAACAAATGATCCAGCACTAAGACACTAGTGATAAGCGTACATCTCCTTTCTTGCCTCTCTTTTATGTAGCTTTACCCAAGAACTACAAGAGAAATAATCAAGTGATGCCAGAAACAAGCTACTCTGCCTTCTGACAAAAATTATTATTATTATTATTATTATTTTGATATGTACAAACTATGGCATGCAGCTTGCTTGAGGAACAGGTTAACATACCGAAGCTTAGCCCCAGGAAGTCAGGGATGGGCACCACAGGGAGGCACACGAAGTGGAGATAGCTCTCTTTTCAGAGGCAAATCAAACTACACGTACAACCTGGTTCTGTCACTTAGTAGTTATGTGACTCAGACAAGTAATTTTTAGCTCTAAGTTTTCTCATTTGTAAAACAAGGGTAATAATGATGACTACCTTCCTGAATTTTTGTGAGGACAGAGATTACACACATAATGTGTTCGGTGCATAATTTTACCTCAGTGTGTGGCTATAATTATTATGAGTGCAGTCAGTACAAATTGTTGTGTGCAGAGGTCTTTCCAATTATCATAACACCTTGACTCATGGAAGTAAGTCTGGTGTTCCCTTTCCTACCCACTAAAGGCATATAAAGAGCCTTTAAAATTAATTTTATTTAATGTCCATCATTTGATGAATGGATTAAATAATCATTCCTTGATGCTTCTAGCTTCTGGTGACTGCCAGCCTTCTTTGACTTGTGACTGCATCACTTCAGTCTTCAAGGAAGGTTAGCATCTTGAAATCTCTCTCTGCTCCGTCTTCACATTGCCTTTCTCCTCCTTGTGTAAAATCTCCTCTGCTTCCCTCTTAAAGGATATGCGTAATTGCATTTAGGACCCATGCCTATAATCCAGGATAACTTCCCCATCTCAAGACTCTTAACCTAATCATAGATCCTTAATGTAATCTTGGTTGCAAAGGCTTTGCTGTGTAAGATAATATTAACAGTTTCCAGGTTTTAGGACTTGATGTCTTTGGGGGGCCAATACTACAGAGAATGAGAGAAGACAAAACAGGGAACTAGCAGGCACAAAAGAAAGGAATCAAGCACATCTACTCAATTTTCCTCTTAGATTTGTCAATCAGGTAAGTCAGTCACTTCTTGGGGAGGAGTAAGCGAGAAGTGAGAGGGCATAGCCAGCAGTGTTCTTGCATTGCAGCTTTCAAATCGTTTATGATGAAGACTCTTAGTAAGAAATATATTTTACATAATGACCCGGGGAACAAATACATACTTGAACATACACATAAACATACACATATAAGTACACAATGAATTTAATATATATTTGAATTGTAATGTTTTTGAGACAATATTTTTCCTTACTTCTTGAGATGCATGCTGTTCTTCTCTATTTCTTAAAAAAAAAAATTGTTGGGAAATCCATTAAGTTTACAGCCCACTAATTGGACATCATCTGAAGTTTGGAAAGCATCTCTCCATAAAAGTCTGGACTAGGAAAAATGATGCTAGGCAAATAAGTGTGTTTTCCCCCTAAAAACTATGTGGCAGACATTGTGCTAAATGCTTTATATAGAATATTTCATGTCACTCAATGACAGTAATATTTCTGGTTTGCATATGAGTATTTTTTGTCAGATACACTTGATTTCCCTTCCAGATCACTTCTCTACTGTTTCCATTCTGCTCTGTGTCCCAGAAGAGCACATGAAGTTATGAGACTGACCTTAAAGGACTGCATCAATGGGCTCTCTTGTATTCTGGCTTGGGTTTCAGCTGTGTCTGCAATCAGAAGATCAGAAGGCAGGAGGAGAGTGAGTTCATAGTCTTTATTTCTCCATTTGCCTTCCTGGTGGTTGTCCCTGAAGAATACAGTTCCTGGTGTGTGTGTGTGTTGTTCAGATAGTTATTCCCAGTCCTTGCTCCCTCTGGGTTAAGGGTAGTAATGACTCCCTTGGCCCTCTTTGCTTTGCTAGACACAAGACAGTTGACCATCATTTGCTAGTTTTCTTCAGTCATGTTCACACCCTTTGTAAACAGTCCCTTTATTAAATCCTTCTCAACTGTTCCATTTGAGCATACCATCTGTTTCCAGCATGGATTTTGACTGTTATTAGAGGCCACTGAAATAATTCAAGGAGGAGATGATGATAGAAGTGGAAGTGAAAAGAAATAGCTGGACTCCTGCTTATCTTTTGAAGGAAGAGCTGATAGAATTTGCTTATGGTTGAGATATAGTGTGAGAGAAAGAAAGGATTCAAGAGTGACTCCAAAACTATAGCTTGAGCAGCTGGAAAGATAAATTGACATTTAATGGGGCTAAAAAGTCTTCAGAAAGAGAAAGCTAAAGGTGAGAACTTTTGTCATGTTAAGTTTGAAATACCAACTTGATAGCTAAGCAATGTTTTCAAGTAGGCATTTGGATATAAAGCCTGGCATCAAGAGAGGTCTTGAGTCATAAGCCCATAGATGGTCTTTGAGCCCATGTAACAGATGAAGTCATCCATTGCATGAGTGAAGAGAGAAAGAAACAAAAATGCTGCTAATAGTCAAGAGAATGACTGACAGTTGACTACTGGAGATCATTGGTGGTATTTATAAGGAGAGTTTCTGTGATGAGATGGAGTAAATTCAAGAGAGGATGGGAGGAGGAAGAGTGGAGATAAGGGCCACAAGACATCTCTTCCAAGGATTTTTTCTGAAAAGGGGTTAAAGAAATAGAGCTGTTCCCAGAGGGAGAAGCAGTAGAAGGAGATTTTTTTTTTTAAGACTGGAGAAATAAAAGCATGTCTATCTCCTATAGAAATGATCTTACTGAGGGGAAGCTCTGACAAAATTCATTGAATTATATAATTTAAGAATGAGAAGAAAATGTAGAGACTACCTCCCAACCCTGCCCTAATGGCTTTGTTTTATAAGTGAGGAAACTGGCCTCAGAGGGGTTGACTGGTTTTTCTAAAGCACTGAAAGAATCTAGTTATCTCTCACCCTATTGTCCACTTCCCAGATGTATATAATGTCAGGATCATAAGATGAGAGGGTCATAAAATTGCCTTTCCCAATATTTCCTTGCCCTCTTTTTAGGTCAGATCTGTATTAATGTAGTCTAAATTCCTAACCAACAACCATTTAACCCAGCTCACATAATGCTGTATGTAAAACTAAATGGTATTCAATAAATATTTTCTTCCCTTCTCCTTCATTCCACCCTTTTTAAAATCTTCTTCCTTCCCTCCTTTCCTCCGATGATTCTGCCTGATAATCTACCATTGGGAATTCATCCTATTGTCCCTTGTTTGGATATGAATATTCTTGGTAAGTGATCATACTGAGGTTTGATCAACAGATTCCTCTATGAAAGGTTTAAAGAGATCCTTCTGCTGTTATAACTAGTAAAAGGAATAGTTTAATTGGAGTGTAGAAAGGAAAGAAACAAGAACAGATTTAGAGCAAGAGAGACTGAGGACAGGCCTGGGTAGTAATCAAATGAGAACCTAGGAAAGCTGAGGGAGTAGATAGGATGCTGATAAACCAGAAGGGAAGGTCTGAGGTCCAGTTATTCTGTAGTGCAGTCAACCTCGTCTGCTTCCAAGTCATGTGACTTCATCCTGCCTTGTGGCTGTTACACCTGTATTAATTTATAAGTATTTCTCCTGTGATTTTTCTCTCACTTTTCCTCACCTCGTTTCATTTTTTTCACTGACTGTGTTTCCTTCTGACTTCCTACTTTCTTTTCTAATTACAACTGCTGTCCTTACTTAATATGGATGGAGAGCGTGAGTAAATGGCCAGTCAGAGAATTGCAGTGTTTGTCCAGAGTGACAGCACCCAGGAGGCATGCTGGATAAAGGCTCTGTCCTCTTCTAGGCTGAGAGAAAGAAAAATTAAGGCACCCCTCCTCAACGGAGGTTTCCCAGCACTCCTCATTTCATTCCATCTTTGCTTGTCTTTTTCCATTGCCTCTCTCAGCCTGTTTCCTCCTTTCGCTAGCCTGGGTTCCACTTGTAGGCAGCAGTTTATGTGTTGAATAAGTCAAGCCTGTCCTGCTGAGCTGTCAGCAAATGGAACTGACCAACAGAACAGTCTAAGTGTATCTTGTGCCTGGGCCAGATAG